AGGTCGTAATAAGACAAGAGAAAGAAGCGCTTGGTGTGGTGACAGGTTTGCATGACTTCCACCAGTTCTGTTCCTAAAGGAGAATTCCATGGTGGGTTAGTTTTATGGAAACTATTATCGTCTCCAAAAAACAACGATGAGACCACGAAGCACCTTATGACATGCGTGGACCAAGACACAATGAGGTGAACCACAAAGGGACAAACATTACGTCTGACCACTGACATACTGGGGGAGGGAGTAGATATTCTACCAGAGGGAACAGACGTTGGTGGATGCCAGTGTTGGGCGAGGGTCACAGAGGAGGAGAGAGAGGGCAATGGGCCAGGCTGTTGGTGGGTGATGACTTGGACGAAATGGAGTGGGGCAGTGCAGGGGGACCCACCCTAACAGTACAGACAACCCAAAGAATCCTATAGTAGGCTCGTCCTCAGATCTTACACAGTTAGGAAAATATTCTCAACTTGTTCTGGATGAGCCTCACCGTGAAATGTCAGGAAATAATGACTACTTCTGCCAATTAAATGAAACAGGAAGAATTGTTATGAGTCAAAAACAGCCACATTACTTGGACAGGGTCTTCACCCCACAATTTAGTATTTTAAATGTAAAAGCCTCGCTTCCATTTTGTCTATAAATGGTTGGTTGTAGACAGCCAGAAGGGCGTGGGGCGGCTTCTGACTACCCCCCAAGCACAGTGGGAGTCAATCCCAGCATCCCCCGGGCTGACTCCTGAGGACCAGAGGTCAGCTGTGCCTTCGCCTCCAGCCACTTCACACATGACAGCAATCTGCTTCTTGGCAAGGGCGCGACATCTTACTGCAATGGCCTCAGAAAAGTTGCTGAACATACCAGAGATTCTCCAGATTATTAAGAAAGATAGTAGCTTATAACTCTGAATCAGCACCCAGTTCTTGCATCAAGGGTCCCTCTTATCAGCCACGGCCAGAGGCAGGCCTCTCTAGTACTCCCAGCCCACCAACCCCTTGGCCTCTTCCCTCAATTTTGCAAATCTCTTTTACCTCTGCTGGTTAGACGCCTCCAAGGCACCTCACCTCACCAGTAAACCTCAGCCCAAAGGCACTCAGCTGGAGCTCTATGGGGTGGCACTTAGCTCCCCAGAGAAAGGGCTGGGAGGCAACTTACCACCCACATACACCACATGCACACCCGCCTCTTCCTCCAGCTTCTGACACGCCAAGTCTGAAATCCAGCAGTACGGCAACTGACCAATACCCACAATAGACTTTTATATACCTGGTCAGCACGGGACCGCCCAGAAAGTACCATGGACCTTGTTCACAGTATTGGCAAGCTATCCAATCCTCCTATTTAAGTCGTCCTACCCAGTCGTTA